AGTGATAGCATAAATTACAATTCTAATTATTAATATCTAAGAGTTTGATGATTACTAATCTCTTCTTTTTTTTAATGCAACGAACTACAAGGTTTATAATAGTCATGATGACAAGAATAAGAACTACTAGAGCCTAAAACTTTACAAAAATAAAAATTATTTTATTGAAGGTAAATTTGTAATGCTTATATATATTATTTTATTTATGCAGAGATAACTAAAATCTGAGAAATAACTAATATACTATTTACTATATTATTTTTATTATAACTGCTATTTGAGTAATAAATCTTTGTAATTTTTGTGATTTTACAGATTGTAATACCAGAATTGTAGTATCATTAAGGATAGTAATTTCTTTTTTTACAATGAGCAGGCAAATTTATATACTATTTTAATTAGCTAATTATAGGATCTATTATAATAGTACAGGTAATTTTATAATTAGCATTGTAAATTAATCTGCCTTTAGACCTGAAATAAATTTTTGATTTTATATTAGAAAACTATTTGAATTTGTAAAATTGCAAGATTTAATAAGTAAAAGTTATTTTTCTGTTCAAATTATAATATGCATAAACTATTTATTGTATACTTTTTTGATTGCTAATTTTTAACTTTTAATAAGAAGTACGATACTTCTAAAGTTTAAAAATATAACTATGATAGTTACAAAATTTTAGCTTAGAATAGTAATTATTATTATTATTATTATTATTATTATTATTATTAAACATTAAATTTTCATTTGAAAGCAATTATAGTTTATTATATGCTTGTTTCTAATAGTAGTGATAGTAATTATAATAATTATCATGATAATTATAATAATTTTTGTTATTATCATTATTATTATTATTTATTATTAAAATAATAAAAATGTTTGTATAAAAAAATTATTCTTATTTTTTAGATCTGGTAACCTAATATAGTGGTTAGGTTGTCAGACTACTATGCAATAGGTCTGAGGTTCAAATCTCACTATTGACAAATTTGAATAATTTTTTAGACCTTATAATACGTTACAGTAAACCCTATCTATTTCTGGAGGTGTACTCCTGTAAATTGAGTTATACCAAATTGATTAGAACTTAGAAGTATAGTGTAATATTACACAAATAAATCTTGATAAGATATACAAGCAGAGAATCTGCATGGTAGAAATTCTAAGTTAGTAAAATAGTACGGCCTTCTGACAGGACTACATCAGCTAAAGTCTAATCTGCAAAGAAAACTTAGTCTAATAAAGGTAGAAGGTTTTGAGGTCTCTGAGCAAAGGGTAACTAGGACTAGCTAAATACTAGAAAAGGACTAGATCGACTAACTAGTAGAGGACTATAGTAAAATCTGAGGTTGTATGAATATCTACAAGGGTCTAAGCTAGGTAAATCTATAAAATAAGTACAGATCACTCTAGTAGGTTTACTTCGAAGTTAACTAGCTCTGCGATACTAGCAATGTATCTAGTATAATATATTTTGAGAAGACTTAAGCTATTCTAGATAAATAGATCTATAATGAGCTAGCTAGCTTAAGCAGTTAGGTGTTGTAGTGACATTAGGTTGGATCTGTATAGGTTAATGAACAGAGTATTTAAATAAGTAACTTATAGGCAGGTTACAGGTATAGCAACATAGTGTAGAACTAATTAGGTGGCCTAACACCTATGTAGCAGACTACTTAAAATAGACAATGACTAAAGTTATATATGTAGCTTGTTGTATACTCTTCACATAATTACAAACAGTAGGAATTATCAATATATAAGAATAAGTCAATAGAAACATACCAAATCTTTTTTAGTAAAATATTTTTGCAACTTTAAACAAAAATAACTTAACAAGAAATTATTCAAATTTAATAAAAATTTTTTTAAATAAATTTTATAAGATTTTAGAATTAATTTAAAAAAAATTTTATTAAATATAGTTAAGTTCTTGCTAAGTTATTTGAGTTTAAAGTTTCAAAAAAATTTACTTAAAAAAAATTTGATATGTTTCTATTGACTTACCTCTATATAATCTCATTGACAATTCTAATAAAATTCCTTCAGCAATATAAGCTACCTTAACAACAAAAAAAAAAAAAAAAAATTATATAGATCTTAGAACATAGTATAATTATAGTAATTTTTTTTTACTAAAGTTGTAGACTTAAATAACAATAGTTATTTTGATATACGCTCTTTTGGAATTTATTTACTAAAATTTTTGACAATGAATATGAGCTTTTATTTTAATTATTAAAATTTTAATGATTGTTACTTTTTGATATTTGAGAGAATTAGGTTAAGAAAAAATATATATTAAATTTCTCAAAACTAATCCTGTTTCGATAGCCTGCTAAATCTGATAAAATAATTAATTTACCAAATCTTGTTTTTGCTATATAAATCTAATAGGTTATAATGTTTTAAATCTAATAACTTTTTAATACTAATACAAAACCTGTTCACTATGCATATCAGTTTAGAAAGGCTTAACAGTAAGCAAATTAGAACAGATATAGAAGAAATTATGATAATGTATCAGATTTGTAAAAGAAAAAAAATTTATCAAACAGGTTATTTTTCCTATAATTTACTCTAATGCGAACAAAGAACAATACTAGTATTCACTCTAACCTTAATTAATTAGTTTTTATAATTTGACCAAGACACCTGATTAAAAATTAGATTCTGATTTGATAAGTTTTTGATTTCTGCATAATTATAAAAACTTATTAAGTCAGATAATCTAATTTTTAAATATTAAAAAGAGTTACCTACAAAAAATTAAATTCTTTAGTATAATTTTGTACATTTGCCTAAATCTGCACTACTGCATAGTATTAAATACCTGAAGTCATGTTCTTATAATTTTCTATTATATATGTATATACATTGAGTTGAAATTTTACTCTTTATAGAAGAGAAGCAAATTCACAATATATAACACATAGTTATATCTAGATACTGTTAACTTGTATTGAGTATATATAGTAATACTAAGAGAAAACCAGACTTTGATCATATAATTTTATATGATCAAAGTCTGGTTTTCTCTTAGTATCACTTGTATTTATATATATATTGAGACTACAAACTTCAGGACCTAGGACCTTAAAGAAATAACTTAAATTAGTAGGCAGTCATAAGTGGGAAATCTTAAAACTAGAATTGTATCTTTTGATTATAGTTAAAGTCATTTTTATAACTATAGAGATTCTTTTCGAATCTGATTGGATATTAATTTATTCTAGCAATAAATAGAACCTCTTTTTTTTTTTGTGTAATCTTAGAAAATTTAAGCTAACCTCAAAAAATTTAACGATATGTAAAAATAACTTTTTTAAAATAAAACATGTTCTAGAATTTCATATCTATAAAAATAAAGGTTTATTCTATGTAATACTAAGTTTCTATAAAAATTAGTCACGTTATAAAAAGTTTTATCAGGACGTATTTTTGATATATATGTAAATTGTTATTGTACCATATAGATTATATGAAAAATAATCTATAAATACTCTACTCTTAATATATCAGGAACAGAATACAAAGTATATACATAGTATGTGTCTCTTTTGTATCTAATTAGTTAATCTATCTTTATGACTTCATTTTGGATTTCTATATTGGTACTTTTTGTCTATCGCTATTGATATATGAAATAAAACAATACTAATTAGACATTTGTGATCAAAGGATTATTATAAATCTGGTCATTGATTTTAAAGTGAAACCTTGCTATTTATTATCATAGCTTTTAAACTTTGATATATATATAAAATTATTCTTGTTTTTACTTGTTTTTGTTCATTATTCTTATGATACCAGAAACAGAGTATTATTTACTTATTATTTTTGAATATAGATAGCTTTTATAGTGATTTTTATTAGTAAAATGTTATATTCTCAAAAAGTACTTTAAATTGTATTAAGTTACTCAAGCAATTGATTATGCAACCAATCATATAAATATCAATCTATGAGGTTATAAGTTAGTAAGAACAAACAAAAAACTTATTAGTTATAAAAAACTAATTTCACTACTAATTCTATCTAACTATTACAGATTTTCTTGTAACTAGGAATATTAAAAGTTTAGTTCAGTTCGACTTGACTCCAAAAGTTGAGTCTTTATTAAAGTTTGGTTCCAAGTCAGATTTAAAACTCGACTTGTATTTTACATACGATTTGTATATTTAAATATAGCACTAAAAAGAATATATATATATATTCAAAATATATATAAATATATATTTTTTTTCAGCTATATTTAAATATACAAGTTGCATGTAAAATACGAGTTGAGTTCCAAGTTTACTTGGAACTGAACTTTAATAAAGACTCAACTTTTGAAGTTGAGTTGAACCAAACTAAACTTTTAACATCCCTACTTGTAACTTACTGGATCTAACACGAATTTAGAAATAATAATCCAAATTCCTTCACTATCTCTTCATATGTATATTTCACGTGTTTACTATATTTTTGCAAGCAAATTTGCAAATGATACAAGCCTAAAAAAGAAATTTTTATATGTAGATCATTAGATCAGGTGTAAAGTTTTGTGTAACATAAAATCGAAGACTCAAAAATCGGCCAAACTTTAAAATTTAACAAAGAAACCACTTTTTGCGCTCTAATTAAAAAAATTCCTTGCTAAATTTTACGTATAATAATCAAGCTCCGATCCTAACCCTAACCCTAACGTCGTAAATTCAACGTTTTATTAGTGAAAACTAATAAAAATAGTTTTTTCCTTTTTGGGCTTTGTATCACTTGCAGAAATAAGTAAATCCAAATTTGTCTGCGTAACGTATTAAGAGATAGTCTTTAATTAAGGTCTTTGATGATCAGTGATTATCAAATCATCTGACCGGCAAAAAATCCTACCTAAACTTATATAAAAGAAGTAATAAAAGACACATTTCGCATATTTTAATCAAAATTTGAGCAAAGAATTTATTCTAGAGGGTTTGAATAGTACTTTGAATTTAAGATACTACGTATAAAAATGAAAGATGAAAATTTCCTTTCTGGGAATTATAAGGGAACTTTGGCCGTCGATCTTATACACGAAACTAGACCAAACCAACTCAAAAATGCAAAAAATCAACACACTGTATATTGTTCATGAGAAAAATGTTATCAATCTATGAATTAATGCTTGCTGAATGTTCACGCATTATTTGTAGTCGATTATAATAATTTATGAAGCAAAATTTGGTGAAAGCTTAATGATGGCTTATATTGGACGAATAACCGAAGATGAAGCATCTGAAGCTAATCGAGCAGTAATTAGCATTGGTATGAATTTGCCAAAAAAATTGATAAAGATCTTAGTCTGTTAGTCTCAAAAAAAAAAAAAAAAAGAGTTTGGCATTAGGATTTTAAGTTGTGGGACATAAATTCAATCTATACGTTCTTATTCATGATAATTAAAATATAAGCCGTCTTTGATCTCTAAGATTGGGATCTTTAGTTAGAGACGTTAGTAGATGGTACAATACATATCGATACAAAGTTTATGCTGCAATAGCAGCGAGTACTCCAATACAATATGCAAATAATGAGGAGTCAGATTTGTGTTTTAGAGGCTTATTGTTGCTACGAGTATGTATTCATTTATATTATTCGTTACAGTATCTAAAACTTTTTGAGAATCTTGATCATTGATCTGTATTCTGGAAGGGAACTTCCTTTTTTGTTCCAAGTGAGAAGAAATTCAAGGTTAAGAAAGTGGTGAAGATAGTTCAGTAGTTCTACTCTGCAAGATAACTAGAATACAGTTGTCTTATGATTTATTTTTATTTCCTATATCAATAAAGCCACACTGGTGACTCGATTTCATATATATTTCGCATATGTATCTAGAAAATTAGCGTTAACTAGTGTTGTAGGTGAAGATACTTTGTCAGTTTCGCCCTATAAGTCCGAAACTAGTTTCGCCCAATTTGATCTTAATATAATCGGGTTTCGCCTACAACACTAGCATTAACATTTAACTTCGCTTATTTTCTCTTATCTAATCCTTCTTATATTTGATTTTTCTTCATTCAAAAATAATGTATTTAAATAAAAGTTATTATTTTAATAAAACATTAATTTAATTACATGCATGAAAATATGTCAGGACAATTTTCTATACAGTTAAATAATGCAAATTCTAAAACGTGAAGAGACGAACTTTAAAGTTAAGTATTCTAGCTAACTTCGGGCTTTATATTCCTTTAGAAGACATCTCAGCATGCGCTAATAGCTACCCCTGCAGGACCATGAAAGATCGACAATATGCACCAATCAGATGATTTACACTAATAAAACAATCGAATTTTTAAAGTAATAAAACTTACGTTAGGGTTAGGGTTTTTTCTATACTAAAATTTTGTGGAGAATTTTTTTTGTTAGTGCGCAGAAGGTGGTTTCATAGAGAGTCGATTGTTAGAAGAGATCTGATTGGTGCATCTGCGCTGATCTTTCATGGTCCTGCTGGGGTAGCTTGCGCTAATAGTTTGTTCATCGCCAGAATTGTCTCTTTCAGTGGTCAATAATATCGTTGGTTAGTCATCTATGTAAAAATTAGTGAGTCAACTTTATTTTTATCAATTACCGTAATTATCCTCAAGAATGATTCTTGATTTGCCGCAATGGCTTCCATAGTTCAGATTTTATTCCAGATTTTCTCAGAAAATTAAGATTTTCAGAGTAAAGACCATATTTCAATTGATCCTATTCTTATTCGTAAAAATTCTATAGAATAATTTTTTTAGCATTAATATAATGAAACAATTACTACCCGGGTATAAAATTTTACCCGAGTAGACATCATATGATTGGTTAATCAAAGCAACCCAATTTTTTTTGGTCATGCTAGAAGTCGAAGGTACTTTTGATTTAAAGTAATTTTCAAGATTTCACGTAGATGCTAAAACAACTCCTGTTAAACATTCATAGGATTGTCTAGTAAGAAAGATAAAAGGCGAAATTTATGGTGTTATGCCCCTTGTTGCTCCTAAAGTTCTACTGTATTAGACAACGAATTTACGCAAACTGCTAATATTTATAGCTTTGGTATTATTATGGGCGTAATTTTGATGTTAAACTTGCTGTAAGTATTTGCAACGGAGAACGACCAGAGTTTGTTCCTAGAACTCCTGATTATTATGTTCAATTAGCTAAGCAATGTATTCTGATTATGATCCACAAAAATGACCTAACGCTAATGCTTATAAAATTGATGACTGACTTATAGAGATAGCAAGTTCGGATGAAGACAATTAAAAAACAATTCTTGGACGCAAATAAAGTCATTAAAACATAGCAAATAAACTTACTATGGCATCCAGATCGTATGGGAATCCCCACAGCAAAAAGTGCCAGTGAGCGGTTTTAAATTTTGATATTTAAATAGATATACAGTCAGACCTCTATATAATCACCAAGTTGGTTACACCCTAATTTGGTGATTGTATAGAGGTGTGACTATAA